CTTCCAGTGCAGGGGGCGTGGGTTTGATTCCTGGTTGAAGAACTAAGATCCCACATGCTGCGCGGCACGGCCAAAAAAGAGAGAGAAGAACATACCATTTTTTCCTTAAATAATAGCACAGAGTGCGCTAACCTTCTGCGTCTTTAAATTCTTGCAAAGATATATTTAATAGAGCTTATCTCACTATTATAAAAATAATTTTACATGTTTTAGTTTTAATAATAATTCTTTAAAGAGAGTGAGGAAACTTAGTGTTGGGTTTTGAATATGATATTTTGTAAATTGTCAGGGTTGAGGGGTAAACCTGACTGAGGAAGCATTTGATGTGAGCGCAGATGTAGTCATCAGGGGTCATGTGCACAGTGCACAAAAGGGGGACCTTATGCCAGGAACCTGTTTTCCAGTCTTCAGAATCGGTGTCAGCTCTGTCTGTTCTTGTTTTGGGTCTTACATGTGTCTTTTTCAGGAGAAAGAGACCAAAAAAAATGAACCCAAAGAAAAATACCCGAAAAAGCATGATTTGGACAAGGAAGAAAAAGGCCGAAAAGAGCCCAAGGCATTAAAGAGTGAGTGTGAATACTGACATTTGTCATTTACATGGGTCTTTGAGACAACGAGTCTAGTTCATTGTAAAGACAGACTCTCTTTTCTAAGCTGCAAGGTCACAGAGCTAGAAAATACATTTACTGGGGAATTTAGAACCTTATGCTACTTTTTGTTTACCAGTTATCTTAGTTACTTACATAATAATTTATATTATTAATATAATTAACTCTCCCCCTTCTGTTCACCTTGTTCTTTTTCCTTTTGGATATGAGGTAGAATATATTATCTTTATTTATTTCTTTTATTGACGTATAGTCAACTTACAGTGTTTTAGTTTCAGGTTGGGAATACATTATCTTTATCGAGATAAGAGATTAGTTACGACAGAAAAGTAAATAAGTATCTCTTTTATAGTAGATGCTGAGATAAACTACTGTTTAATATATTTATTTATATATTTATTTAGCTCTGTGTCATTTGTATAAATATAATGAATGTACATTTGATCACATCAAGATATAGCTCAATTAAGAATCCATAGTGCATATTAGTACTGGAACAAGTACTTTATAAGACAGTCACCATTACAGTGTTTGAATAAAACTGGATATTTTAGTTCACACACCAGAAAGTACTCGGAACACATGTTCTCATGGAGGCAGTGATTTCTAAGAGATGGATGATTTCTTGTGGGTTTTCTCCCCAAAGCTGTGTGTAACTGAGGTAATATTAAAAGTGGGTTTGGGTTCTAGGCCTCAGTTTAGACTTGGCAGTAAGCCTCCGGCTGAGGGACTGTGGGAAGGAGCAGTGGTGCTTTGATGGGTTGTGCAGGTGAGTATAGTGTAAAGACTGTACCTGTTCACAGCGATGTAACAGCTTTAAGCATCTTTTCTTTAGAGAGTGATTGGAGATTCAAAATATTGTAAGATTAGAACTGGTTAATAACTTTTTCTTCGTCCTAGTATCTTATCTGTCAGTTTCAGGTGCATTTTTTACTGTGAATGTTTAGTCTTAAATGACTATTTGTTAAGTTCATAAGGGCACTTCAGGGAGTCTGATATTTAGTAACCCTGAAACTAAAACCTGTCTGCTTCCGATCCAGGCCTGGTGGGGTGATGTGGCCTCACGGGCCTCACTGTGTCTTCCATTTTCAATTTTCAGAGTCTGTTGACCGTAATCTTGCTGCTTATGTGTACCTGTGCTTATATCTGATGCTTGGCACCCAGCCTCCTGGACAGAAATAAAGCTGGGTTGTTGGGTATACTTTGGAAGTGTGCCAGAACTGGTGAACGGGAGAGTCCTTACGTTGCAGACGCTGTGGTGTGATGGCCTTCAGCATCCTCTTCATACAGTAGCTTGGAAAAATGCCAGAATTCAGTTGCCATCAGATTTAAATATGAGGAAAAAGGACTTATCTGCAGAAAAGAATGGTTAACCCTTTTATCTCTGAACATTGAATGAGATAAATTTCTAGCTGCTGTTCTGTATTTTTGTTATTGGACCAATGTTCTATATAAATAATTAGGATGTCACCATTTAATACTCAGAGTTTAAATATGTCTGTAACCATCAACCTCAGTACTGTCACTATACAATATTACCTTCTGCATATGTCATTCTTTGGTGTCAGATACCTTTTTTTTTTTTTAAGTATGTCTTCTTTTTTGGCTGCACTGGGTCTTAGTTGCAGCACGCAGGATCTTTAGTTGTGGCATGCAGACTCTTAGTTGCAGCATGCGAGATCTAGTTCCCTGACCAGGGATCGGACCCGGGCCCCTTGCGTTGGTAGCGCGAAATCTTAACCGCTGGACCACCAGGGAAGTCCCCAGGTACTAGTTTTTAGTGAGGTATCTTTAAGGCACATAGTAGAAAACAAAATTGGTAAATTACTTAAGTTCCTTTCACTGTGATTTGGAAACCGTAAATCTTTATCGAGCGAGAGCCTTTTTTGGACTAGCTTTTTTATTGAGAAAAAAAGGTTCAGTTTGTGTTGGTAAGGATTGCACTCATATTTAATAATGCTTGCTTTTCCGCTGGCCACACCATTTTGAGCATTAACCAGAGTACCTGTACTCTTAGCAAACTGTAGTTTATCACAGGTGTTTAAACTATTTGAAACAAGCCTGTGCAGTTCTTGAGGAAGATAAATGAGAAGTGACTTAATAGTGACTGAGAAGATGTCCCTATTTAACATGGAAGAATTGAGTGAAAAAACCTATCCGCTATGTACCCAAAGTTTATAATAGAGTTTTTCTCTTATCTTTAGTTAAAAGCGAGTGGATTTCCACAGGCGTCAGGTGCAGTGTTGCCAGGCCACAGTCAGCATGCTGACACCCTTACACCCCTCCCACTCTCTCCACCAGAAGTCCTTTTTGTACAAGGTTACCTTCAGGATCCAACTGGAGGCAGTTGTCTCAGCAGAAGGACAGTTGGTGGTGTGACTAGGATTATTCTGAGGCTCGCTGTCTGCAGCGGCCTTTGTCAAAACTGGGAGTGGTTCAGAGCCCCAGAAGAATAACCATTCACTTTGGACGTCCTTTCTGAATATGGAGCGGCCAGTAGAAAGATGAATGGAAAGAACTTCATGGCTGTGATAGTCAATCTGACCAGACTTCCTAACCAAGGCAGATATTAGTAAGAATTAAGAAAATATCTGTTTTTTAAACACTAACCCAGATTTTCTTTTGATTACAACAGAAATTTGTGACTCATTGATTATCAACTTATTTTTGTCCCTAGCATTTAAGGAAATCAGAAATGCATTTGATTTATTTAAATTAACTCCAGAAGAAAAAAATGATTTTCCTGAGACTAATCGGAAAAAAGAAGCACCGCCAGACGGTAAAGTCCCAGGAGGCCACAGGAGCGAGGGGAGCAAGCCGCTGCTTAAAGAAAGGAGAAATGCGAGAGATGAGGCTGACACGTGGGCGCATATAGCTGCAGATGGGGGTCAGGAGGCTGTGGACAGCACGCCCCAAGCGGACGAGAATTCTGGTAGGTGTGTCCGTAGTCATTCTGCGGCGCGTTCTCTGTTCTGTGCACTGAGCTGTCTCCCTCACCTTGCTCTCCGACCGCACGGTCATTCTGATCTCAGGATGGAGTAGAAAACCATTTGAATCTCCTGAATAAATAACATTTTGTATTGAAGGCTTAGATTATTCTGTGATTTCTGAATTGATCAAACATTGAGCTAGTATGCTCAGCACATTTAGAAATTATACAGATTTCTGGTTTGCTGCCTTACCTACTCTTGCCAAGCAGCCTGATGGTATATCTTACTAGATTTCTGTCAGAAAACTATCAAATACAAACTTATTTGTAATCTTCCCTTTTAACTTTGCAGTAAATAACACTCATTAAATGAGGTTAGATTGCAAGTGCTATCCTGAGGGTACCGGAATTAGCTGAGGAGGGGAAGGCCGTGTGTAGAGCACATGGGACAGGACAGGACAGAATAAACAAAGGAGGTTAATCTGATGAATTTTTGTACAACTTGTGAAACAACTGAAGAGAAGTTCTGAAATATTTGGGATATATGGCAAAGCAGTTAGCTTGGGGGCCCTGTTACTACAGAGCAACTAGGCTCTGGGATACAGACAAGACAGGCCTCTGGCACGTTTTGGAGCTTGCAGGAGACCAGGACAGTGCCTTGGGGCGCGGGGGTTGGGGTGGCGGCAGTGGGTTGCCCAGAGGGCAGATACCAAATAGCAGCACAGCTGCTGAGGTACCATGCAATAAAGACTAGGCCCAGTAGGTGTTGGTCCAGCCACCTGGGGAGCTCCTCTTGCAGGAGGCCCGTCTTGGGGGCCGCGGGATGAGTAGACCTCGCGCCCGCCCAGCAGAATCTTAACAGTTTACGAAGAGGCCTTAGTTCAGTCCAGGTGGTCTTAGCAGCTTTTACTCTCTCCAGGCTGTATCCTTGACACTATTTCTACTTTGGGAACAGTGGGCACAACATACAGCCCAAGGACAGGATGTGAGGGGCGCCCTCCTGGCCAGGGTGTGGGCGGTGAGCACCTCGGACCTTCTCCCACAGTGGAGCATTGGTAAAGCCCAGAATCTGGTTCATTGAAAGACTAATAGAATAGAGCAACTTGGGGCACCGTTAGTTTAAGGGAAAAAAGAATGAAGACTTAAACAGTATTTCCAGGGAAAAAAGAGACGTGATTATAGATGGCGTCCAGATTAAAAAGATAAAAATTCTATGAGCATTTTCTTACCATAGATTTGAAAACTGATTGAAATGGGAAGTTCCTGGAAAGATACAGTTTAACAAAACTGACCCAAAAAGAAATACAAAAATTGGATAGTCTGGGCTTCCCTGGTGGCACAGTGGTTGAGGGTCTGCCTGCCGATGCAGGGGACGCGGGTTCGTGCCCCGGTCCGGGAGGATCCCGCGTGCCGCGGAGCAGCTGGGCCCGAGGGCCATGGCCGCCAGGCCTGCGCGTACAAAAAAAAAAAAAAAAAAAAAAATTGGGTAGTCTTATTACTATTAAAGAATGTGAAATAGTAATTTAAAATAATCTTACAAATTTATGCAAGAGTTCATCAAACTTACAAAGATGTCTTCCCGGAAGCAGGTGGGTTCAGGGAGTGAGGTACAAGCGTATATGCGACTTAGAGCCGTGCATGTAACGTGGAGCAGAGAAACAAAGCCTGTGCTGTTTCTGTTATGGGACGCTTTTAAATCCTTTAACTGTTTTTTTTTTTTGAAGTATAGTTGATCTACAGTGTTGAGTTAGTTTCAGGTGTACAGCTAAATGGTCCAGTTATATGTACATATATATATTCTTTTTCAGATTCTTATCCATTATAGGTTGTCTCAAGATACTGAATATGGTTCCCTGTGCTATACAGTAGGTCCTTGTTGTTTATCTATTTTATATATAGTAGTTTGTATCTTTTAATCCCAAACTCCTAATTTATCCCTCCCTTCCTTTCCCCTTTGACAACCATCAGTTTGTTTTCTGTGTCTGTGAGTGTTTCTCTTTTGTCAGTAAGTTCATTTTTATCATTTTTTTTAGATTCCACATATAAGTGATATCATATGATATATGTCTTTCTCTGATTTACTTCACTTAGTATTATAATCTCTAGGCCCATCCATGTTGCTGCAAATGGCATTATTTCATTCTTTTTTATGGCTGAGTAATATTCTATTGTACATATGTACCACATTTTCTTTTTTTTTTAACGATTTTTTTTTTAACCCCACATTTGTTTATTTATTTATTTTTGGCTTTGTTGGGTCTTCGTTTCAGTGCGAGGGCTTTCACTAGTTGTGGCAAGCGGGGGCCACTCTTCATTGCGGTGCGCGGGCCTCTCACTATTGCGGCCTCTCTTGTTGCGGAGCACAGGCTCCAGACGTGCAAGCTCAGTAGTTGTGGTTCACGGGCCTAGTTGCTCTGTGGCATGTGGGGTCTTCCCAGACCAGGGCTCGAACCCGTGTCTCCTGCATTAGTCGGCAGATTCTCAACCACTGCGCCACCAGGGCAGCCCCCACATTTTCTTTATCCATTCATCTGTCGATGTTTAGGTTGCTTCCATGTTTTGGCTGTTGTAACTAGGGCTCCTATGAACATAGGGGTACGTGTATTCTTTCAAATTAGAGTTTTCGTCTTTTCTGAATATATGCGCAGGAGTGGGATTGCTGGATTATATGGTAGCTCTATTTTCAGTGTTTTGTTTTTTCTATTTTTGGGCTGCTCCTGGTCTTAGTTACAGCACACGGGGTCTTTGTTGCCACTTGTGGGATCTTTTAGTTGCGGCATGGGGGATCTTTAGTTGCGGCATGTGGGATCTAGTTCCCTGACCAGGGATCAAACCCAGGCCTTCTGCATTGGGAGTTTGGAGTTTTACCCACTGGATCACTAGGGAAGTCCCTATTTTTAGTTTTCTGAGGAACCTCCATCCTCTTCTCCATTGTGGCTGCACCAGTTTACATTCCCACCAGCCGTGTAGGAGGGTTCCCTTCTCTCCGCACCCTCTCCAGCGTTTATTGTTTGTAGACTTTTTGAGGATGACCATTCTGACCATTGTGTGGTGACACCTCATTGTAGTTTTGATTTGCATTTCTATGAAAATTAGCAGTGTTGAGCATCTTTTCATGTGCCTGCTGGCCATCTGTGTTTAAATTCTTTATCTCTTACCATCAAATATTTGATGTGCTTTTCACTTTCTAAACTAGTGCAGTCATGTTGAATTATCCCCAGATCCCCTCCACTGCGCTGCCTGTAGAGAATGAACGTTTTCAGCCGTGGTGTTGACGAGCCTGTGGACCAGACACATGAGGGTGGGAATGAGCGCTGGCTTCGTGCGTGCAGGGGGGTGGCTCGGAGCCCAGGGCGCTGGGGGCGTCATGGTGGCGCTTCCAGGGGGAGAAACCCAGCCGAGTGCGACATGGCTGCAGGCAGTGGCTCTTCTTTACTCACGGGTCTGGTCTCTGCGTTCAGAATGCCTGTACCTACATGGAGGCGGGGAGCAGTGTACAGCTGCCCCTCCTGTAAGGTGGCACAGTGCAGTTGATGCTCTGCATCTGGCCCTTCCGGATGAGGGCTGAGCGTCTGTCCAAGAAGAACGGCCGAAGGAAGAAATGGTAGAGCTTCCTCTTACTGAATCCTTGATTTCTCGCTTCCTTTCAGCTTCCAAAATTCATGTTATTATTTTACAGTTAATAGTATACCTATTTGTCTTGATGCCTTTTGGTGCCTTGATGGTGACCTCTAAAAGTGGGTAATTCATGTTACTTCCCAAAGAAAATCAGAAATTTAACTAGAGACTCGGTTACATAGTGACGTATGTTCAAAGTGTGTGTAACATTCTGATTAGGGCACCATATATTTAATAAAACAGCATTGTATTTTTTTTATAGTCCAGCAAAATGTATCTTAATGATGCTCTTCTGTGTTCCAGATGGCAGACAACAGATTTTGAGTTTCGGCATGGATTTGCAGTTGGAATGGATGAAATTAGAGGATTTTCAAAAACATCTTGATGGGGAAGATGAGAATTTTACAACAGCAGAAGCAATTCCAAGCAGTGAGTAGTTCTGTAATTACGGGGATCCCCTTCATGAATCCAGGTATGTAAAACCTAATTTATCTTTCCTTTCATTTTAGATTTATTGAGGGATGCTGTGAAAAATGGGGATTATATTACTGTGAAGTTTGCACTTAATTCAAGTGTAGAATATAACCTGGACCAAGAGGTAAAGTGTCTTTTTAAAAATCTCATGAAAGGAAGATGGAAAGTAACTTTATTTATCTATTTATTTATTTATTTATTTAGTAACTCTTTTAAAAATAGTTCAGTTTTATTCTTTCTTTTCCTGACTATAAAAGTGATACATATTCACTTCATAGGATTCAAACATTCTAGAAATGTATAATGTAGAAAATTACAGGGCTTCCCTGGTGGCGCAGTGGTTAAGAATCCACCTGCCAATGCAGGGAACATGGGTTCGAGCCCTGGTCCAGGAAGATCCCACGTGCCGCGGAGCAACTAAGCCTGTGCGCCACAACTACTGAGGCTGCGCTCTAGAGCCTGCGAGCCACAACTACTGAGCCCGCGAGCCGCAACTACTGAGCCCATGTGCCGCAACTGCTGAGCCCGTGTGCCTAGAGCCCGTGCTCCACAGCAAGAGAAGCCACTGCAATGAGAAGCCCATGTGAAGCAACAAAGACCCAACACAGCCAAAAATTAATTAATTAATTAATTTTTTAAAAAAAAATGAAAGAAAATTACAGGTCCCGTAATTCCAACTCTGTATAATGACCATTAGTTTTAGCCGTGATTTGCCTGGTTTTGTCTGTGGTTTAACCTCTGCACTCTGAGGGCAAAGTGACTCCTCGTTTTCATGTCACCATTTGTGTTTCATTGGTAGTTCCCTATTTACAACAACTGCCCATCTTTCTATTGTTTTTTTGGTGTGTGTGTGTGTGTATGTGTGTGTGTGTGTGTGTGTGTGTGTCCATGCGGTGAGGCTTGCAGGAAGGATCTAGTTCCCCAACCAGGGATCGAACCCGTGCCCCCTGTGGTGGAAGCACACTGAGCCACCAGGGAAATCACCCAGCTTTCTATTGTTGCTGGGTTTTTTCACACTGATTTGTAAAGATTTTAATGGAAGCATATTAACCCATTCTCTGTTTTTACATTTTTATTTTTTGAGTCTTATTGCTTGGAGGGATTTTTATTTTTAGGTAGTTACATCTGTTGATCTTTCCTTTAAGGCTTTTGGGTGTCCTACCTGCTTAGAAAAGATTCTTGTATTTTCTTCTTTAGTTTTCGTGCTTTAGTAGTGGATTTGTTAGGTTGAATCCTTTACGATTGCAGTAAAATGATTATTGGGATTTTCATTAAAACCACATGAAATATATAGATTATTTTGGCTCAGAATGGGCATTTTTACATTTTGAGCCTTCCATCCAGGAATATGACAACTCTGCATTCATTCAGCTCTTCATTTATTCCCTTAAGCAAAGTTCTTTGGGTTTTTTTCTTCATATAGTTCCTGTACGTTTATTTTAGATGTATTCATACATATTTTATAATTTTTAAACCATTTTCCATATATATGCTGTGTACAAGAGACCCACTTCAGACCTGGGGACACATACAGACTGAAAGCAAAGGGATAGAAAAAGATATTCCATGCAAATGGAAATCATAAGAAAGTTGGAGTAGCAATACTCCTATCAGATAAGATAGACTTTAAAATAAAGACTGTTAACAATAGATAAGGAGGGATACTACATAATGATCAAAGGATCAATCCAAGACGAAGATATAACAGTTATAAATGTTTATGTACCCAACATAGGAGCACCTCAGTGCATAAGGCAAATGCTAACAGCCATGAAAGGAGAAATCGACAGTAACACAATAATAGTAGGGAACTTTAACACCCCACTTACACCAATGGACAAATCATCCAAACAGAAAATAAATAAGGAAACACAAGCTTTAAATGACACAATAGACCAGATAGATCTAATAGATATTTATAGAACATTCCACCCAAGAGTGGCAGAATACACTTCTCAAGGGCACACGGAACATTCTCGAGGGTAGATCACAGCTGGGGTCACAGATCAAGCCTCGGAAAATTTAAGAAAATTGAAATCATATCAAGCATCTTTTCTGACCACAACGTGATGTGATTGGAAATCAGTTACAGGAAAAAAACTTTAAAAAAACACAAATTCATGGAGGCTAAACACTGCGCTATTAAATAACCAAGAGGTCACAGAAGAAATGAAAGAAGAAATTAAAAATACATAGAAACAAAAGACATTGAAAACACAATGACCCAAAACCTATGGGATGCAGCAAAAGCAGTTCTAAGAGGGAAGTTTATAGCAATTCAGTCTCACCTCAAGAAACAAGAAAAATCTCAAACAATCTAACCCTACACTTAAAACAACTAGAGAAAAAAGAATAAAGAAAACCCAAAGTCAGTAGAAGGAAAGAAATCATAAAGATCAGGGCAGAAATAAATAGAAACGAAGGAAACAGTAGCAAAGATCAATAAAACTGAAAGCTGGTTCTTTGAGAAGATAAACAAAATTGATAAACCCTTAGACTCATCAAGAAAAAAAGGGAGAGGACACAAATCAATAAAATTAGAAATGAAAAAGGAGAAATGACAGCTGACACCACAGAAATACAAAGGGTTATAAGAGACTACCACAAACAACTCTATGGCCAATAAAATGGACAACCACGAAGAAATGGACAAATTCTTGGAAAGGTACAATTTTCCAAGACTGAACCAAGAAGAATTAGAAAATATAAACCTATCACAAGTAAATGAAATTGAAACTGTAATTAAAAATCTTCCAACAAATAAAAGTCGAGGACCAGATGGCTTCACAGGCGAATTCTGTCTAACATTTAGAGAAGAGCTAGCACCCATCCTTCTCAAACTGCACGCAGGCTTTTCTCTAGTTGCAGCGAGTGGGGGCTACTCTTAATTGCGGTGCGCGGGCTTCTCATTGCAGTGGCTTGTCTCGTTGCAGAGCACGGGCTCTAGGCGTGCGGGCTTCAGTAGTTGTGGCACGTGGGCTCAGTAGTTGTGGCTCGCGGGCTCTAGAGCGCAGGCTCAGTAGTTGTGGTTCACGGACTTAGTTGCTCCGCGGCACGCGGGATCTTCCCGGACCAGGGCTCGAACCCGTGTCCCCTGCATTGGTAGGCGGATTCTTAACCACTGTGCCACCAGGGAAGTCCCCTTATTTCAATTTAAGTGGATCCTGTTGAGTCTGTCTAAAGTACTACTGCCAAGAATCATTTTTCTTATATTTGCGTTCCCTCCAATTAGTCAGACAGGCAAATTTTGCTAGACTTTAAGATTATAGCTAAATTAATTCATACTACTGGAATTTGGTTTTATCAAATGTTATTTAAAAAATAACATAACGGTTTTCTCATATGGTGATTGCTTGAACTAGTGATCGGAAATATTTTAGCTAATAGTTACCTTTTTATCTTTTGTCAACCTTTTGTAGTTTTATCTCTATTAAAAGAACTTTTAATTTCTCTATTTTGTTATGGACTCACAGAAACTAACCATATCAGTGTCCTGTTTGCCAGTTCTGAATTTCCTTCTGTATCCTTAGAGAACTCAAACTCTCACTTCCCAACGGTTATATTTACATAGGCCAACATTTGTCTCATTCAGAAAGCATTCATTTTAGTTTGTAACCAATAGAATGGACTTGTGTGACTTCTCACGGTCATTTCTAGCCTTCTATCTTTGGGCCAACCAAATGAATATAATGAATATGTGTGTTTCACCTGTTTTACCTAAAACACAGGAGACTTTTGAGGTAAGTAAGTGCCTTTGCCATTTATGTGGCATCATGGTTCACTGTTCATTTTGTATCATGCAGAGTGCTGATATGCCTTTAGAACTTAATACGTGGAAGTTGTAAAATTTTTTGGTAACACATATGGAAAAATTCTAAAGGTGATTAGTTTCTGATTGTTAGGGTATTTTAATGAAAAACCTAAGTACGTAGATGCATAAATCAGTGTATTTCAGTGATTTCGCATTGAAATATAGTAAATGAAAAAACTTAGTTCTAAAATTTTTCTGATTAAACACTGACATGTTTTTTCATAAACAAAACCAATACAGGATTCCAGCGGGATGACACTGGTGATGCTCGCGGCAGCTGGGGGGCAGGACGACCTGCTGAGGCTGCTGCTCAAGAAGGGGGCAAAAGTGAACGGTCGGCAGAAGAACGGGACCACTGCGCTCATTCACGCTGCCGAGAAGGTCGGCCACTCAGAAGGCTTTGGTTTCGATAGTCTTGGGACCGAGACAGAGTCTGTCTCTGCAGGGAAATGTACTGGTCCTACAGTCGCGTAACTTTAAATTTTCACAGTTCAGTTCATCTGTAACTTGTCATAAATGGATATGTTTTTATTCAGTCATACTTTGTAATTGAACTTGCAAAATCATTTATCTAGTTGGAAGTGACTTATATTGAAAAAGAACTTCTGATTAAGGTATTAATTCTTAGATCTTTTAAAAATCTTCTCCAATCTAAATTAAGTGTTCCTTTTGTTCAATAATTTAATTAAAATGTTCCCACATATGATCTTATGCAGTTTCTTACGCTGAAACCAGTGGTTAAACTTCAGGTTGGAGTGTCCAGCAGACGGTGCACGGTTGTCCGGGCACCTGTGCTGGGCCCGCTCCCCGCGGCCTCCAGCTTTCCCAGGACCCGGCACGCGGGAGCTGTTTATATCGTATTCACCATCCTGCTTGGGATAGAATCTGAGTACTTTTCCTGGTGGATAAAAATCTTAAAATGTCTAGAAATATCTTAGTTGTAAAGAACTTGGGGAATTAAATTCACTTTTTTTTTTTTTTCTTTAACAGAACTTCTTAACGACAGTGGCTATTCTTTTGGAAGCAGGAGCTTTTGTAAACGTCCAGCAGAGCAATGGTGAGACGGCTCTAATGAAGGTAAATGCCTCCCGTGGAGCAGTCCTCCCCTCAGATGCAACATGGTCCTGCTGGGGTCTCCAGCTGCTGCTGTGCTGGGGCTGGTGCATGATGGGGACGAGACTGTCTGTGGACCTACAGGTCGCAGCTGAGTGGGAGAAACAGACCCGCAAAGAGGCAGTTACTAGGTGTGATGAGCAGCGTGGTGGGAATAGCACAGGGAGCTGTGAGCTTGTGTACAGTGCACACCAGGCTCAGTCGTGTGGATTTGAGCTCAGCCTTAGGATGGACCTGGCAGGTGGCTAAGCCACGTCCTCAAGATGCAGGTCAGCAGGGATGAAACGTGTGAGTGGAAGGGAAGCAGGCTGTGCCCTGTGCAGACCTGGGTGTGGAGAAGGGGGGTGTGCATGCGTTACTGTTTCACTGGTGACTTCATCTTCTGTGCTTGGAATTGTGGTTCGCAGACAGTGGGGTTTTTTTGTTTTAATTTATTTTCGGCTGCATTGGGTCTTTGTTGCTGCGTGCGGGGTTTCTCTAGTTGTGGCGATCGGGGGCTGCTCTTCGTTGGCAGTGTGCAGGCTTCTCACTGCCGTGGCTTCTCTTGTTGCGGAGCACGGGCTCTAGGCATGTGGGTTCAGTAGTTGCAGCACACGGGCTCAGTTGTGGCTCACGGGCTCTAGAGCGCAGGCTCAGCAGTTGTGGCGCACAGGCTTAGTTGCTCCGCGGCATGTGGGATCTTCCCGGACCAGGGCTCGAACCTGTGTCCCCTGTATTGGCAGGCGGATTCTTAACCACTGCGCCACCAGGGAAGCCCCCTGCAGACAGTTTTGAGTGGAAGGTTGTTGAAGCCCCCCCCTCCCTGTTTAGCAGTCTTGCATTTGCTTCTAGGGGACTCCGCCCAGTCCAGCACTTTCCTGTGGCAGCTCCAGGTTTCTGGCCTGAGATGCTGTCCACACAGCAGGTTATGACCCTGTACCATGCATGGAGGCTGAGGCTCACTTGCCTGCTCCCTATGTGCAGCTGTGTGAGCTGCTCACCAAGAAGGTGTGTGTCTGTGGTACCTCTTCCCAACCTTCTTTCCTGAGTCAGGAAGGCAGACTGCTCAAAGCCCCCGGTTGGCGGGGCCCTGGCCCTGAGTCTGTGCGTGACTGTGCAGTTCTTAAGGCCGAGTCACCTCCTCCTCGGCCTTCTTCCACACCTGGGGGTTAAACCTTGCTCACTGCTGGTGTTTGTTACTTTTCTTTTTTTTTTGCGGTACGCGGGCCTTTCACTGCTGTGGCCTCTCCCGCTGCGGAGCACAGGCTCCGGACGCGCAGGCTCCGCGGCATGTGGGACCCTCCCGGACCGGGGCACGAACCCGTGTCCTCTGCATCGGCAGGCGGACTCTCAGCCACTGTGCCACCAGGGAAGCCCTCTTTTGATGCATGGAAATGTTTATTTTGTCCAGGAGCCCTCCTTTTGAATTTCAGCTCTCCTTGTGTGTTTCTACTGAAGTATGTTTAGAGCACAGGTCGCACGTTGAAAGCATAAATTTAAAACTTCATCTTACTGAGAAATCACCAGGCACATTCTAAACAGCAGATGCTCGCACAGTCTGAAGCATGGGGGGGGGGCGGTGTGAGGTGGGGGTGTGGGGCAGGCTCTCTGTATCTGTGCCAGGGAGCTAGGGGCTAACCCTCACGGCAGCGGGGAGCCATCTGAAGGGCCAGCCTAGAGAAAGAAAGCAGCAGAATAAAGGTTGGGTTTCGCTGCATTGTTTTTAATGTCCCCCGTTGCAGTTTGCAGACTTGTAGGGAGGTTCTTAAAATTAAGTGGGATAATAATAGTCTGCACCGAAGTAGTGACAGTGGAGACAGAAGTGGGCAGACTGAGCAGAGTCTTAAAGGGGTCAGATTCACAGGCCTTAGTAACTGAAGGGGATGGCTGGTCCCCTGTTTCCTAAGTTAGAGAACACGGGCAGCACAAATGGAAGATTTTTACACGCACTGGACCTGGAAATGCTTAGCTGTTTTACATGTGGATCTTAAGCTCAGGAGAGAGGTAGGCGGGAAACTCAGATTTGGCTTTGAAAGAGGTCACCCATTAAGGGTCGGAAAAGGCCAGAGATGGAGGAGGGCCAGGAGGGAGAGGCGTTTTGACTGCGGTCTGAGTGAGGCGGCCCTGTTTGTCCTACACACTAAGGAAAAGGACCACAGCACTTGCGCTTCCCAGACAGTTTCCGACCCACTGGTTCTTTTCCCTCCCGTCACGGAGAACTTACTCCCCGCTCAGCGTGGAGAGGGTCACTGAGCACAGTCGAATAATTATTGCTCCTTTATTCCTGACGCAGGCCTGTAAAAGGGGAAATTCAGACATTGTCCGCCTTGTCATTGAGTGCGGGGCTGATTGCAACATTCTGTCAAAGCACCAGAACAGTGCCCTGCATTTCGCAAAGCAGTGTAACAACGTGCTGGTGTATGACCTGCTGAAGAATCACTTAGAGACGTAAGTGTGGAGTGAATGTGCCCGGTGCCTATTCGGACACATAATTGGAGTGGCCTCTGTGTAACTGCTCAGAAAAAGATTGTCAAGTACAAGTCCTGACAGGTCTGTGGTTTCAGAAGATGATGAATTTTAAAAGTGGTGTATGATTTATTTTTCTGCAAGTTATTGAGGACTTAGAAACTGTCAAACTTATACTAAGAGTATCATCTTAAAATCTTAATTATGCTCTTAACTTGGCTCCCAAACATTTTCTTAAAACCATTTAAACATTTTAACAGATAATTTTTTAGAGCAGGTTTTAGGTTCCGAGCGAAGTTGAGTAGAAAGTAGAGATTTCCCGTATACCTCCTGCCGCCACATGTGCATACTTTCTCCAGGTGGTGTGTCCATTACAGTTGATGGACCTACAGTGACATGTGCTCATGACCCAGAGCCCCTGGTTCCCCTGAGGTTCCCCTTGGGTGTTGTCCATCCTGTGGGTTTGGACAAACGTAATGACGTGTCTCCACATCGTCCACATCGAAGTCTCACTGCCCTAACATCCTCTGCGTTCCGCCTGTTCCTCTCCCCCAAACCCTGGAAACCACTGAAACTTTTCCTGTCTTCTCCAGAATGTCATTTGGTTGGAATCATACAGTATTCTCCCTTTTCAGATTGGCTTCTTTGATAGGCATTTAAGTTTTCTCCGTATCTTTACATGGCCTGATGAGCTCGTTTCCTTTTAGTACTGAATAATAATTACATTGTCTGGAAATTACCACAGTTTACCCATTCAAGTTCGTGCTTTTTCAAATGAATTCTAAATCATTTTATTGGAAGTTCCTATAAGTAATTTAGTAGCTTTTTATTGCTTATTTTGGCAACACGAGCTTCAGGAACAGTAGCTAATGCAGGAAGGGTGTTTATTGTTCATGTAACAGAGTCCTTGGGCAGGAACAGCCACTGTTCCCCTCTCCTCACCCACCAAACATAGGACATGACTTGGATCTTCACACCTGAAAGATGGTTATTCCCCTTCCAGATGTAGATCCATGTTCTAAGCAGAAAATAAGATAAATTTCAGACAGGAGACAAAAAAGGCAAAGGCCAAAAAGGGAGTGTGTGCCTGGGGACTCTGCCCACGCAGGACAGCCTTCGCCCACCCGGGTGACAGTGACCAGCAGCCAGCAAGCAGGGCGACCAACCTGCCTGGTTTGCCCAAGGCTGAGGGTTTCCTGGGACGCTGGGCTTGGTTTTACATCTGTGACGAAAGGAATCTTGGGACTGTACACTCCTTGAACCAGAGCATCCTGGGATGGGGTGGGTTGGTTACATTCCCAGCAGGGTCGTCTGAAAAGACTTTTGGAATTAGCAGTAATCATCTTATTTGACTGCTTTCTAAACTAAGTACTGTAACAAGACTTTTCTGTGTGTGGCCGTTCTTGGGTTTATTTTCCGACAGAATTCCTATTTCTGATTCATTGACTCATCCGAGGAGTGTGTATGGAGCTCTGTCTGCGTGCCGGGCACTACGCAGAGGGCAGGGGTGGCAGCGGGGCACAGACTTGCCCACTCGGAGCCTCCAGACAGACAGGCGTGTGACGTGCCAGGTGTGAGAGCTAAGAAGAAAGCAGGGAAGCAGGAGAGAGGCTGCTTTTTTTTTTCCCCCTTAAGGTTGATCTGGGAAAGCCTCATTGTACTCAGCAGTCTGATAATGTTGTAGCTCATGGTGCTTCCCTAC